CTCCCCTTCCCCCTTTTACCCCATTTACAAAGGTCATCCGTCAGACCGCCGCGCGCCGTTGGAATCGATAGAAGATTGTGTTCCTTCTCACTGCTAGATGGCGTCACTGCCCCACTAGCTCCTCACTGGCGCCACCTTACAGGGTTATTAATGGGCGGAGCTATCAATTAAGGTGTCCCTTACAAGAAACAACGTGTCCACCACTCCGGGGAGAGGGAGAGAGAGAGAGAGAGAGAGACCTTGTCCCATGTCGCATCCATCACAGGAAGCTGCCGGTTATTGCTACACCCAGCACGTCACTGAGGCTCGTGGCTCGCGGGCTTGCACAGAACTGAGTGCTATACTGCTAGACTGCTAGGCATTACACCAGCCACCATAGCAAATCAATAAATCTAAGAAATATATGCTAGCCACGAAAAGGACCGAAAGATCCTAAACAATGCTCTCCATAATTCTATATTATTACTATCCACAAGAGCAGTAGATCGGTATTGAACAAAGCGCTTTCAAAGACATAGTTCAAAGAGCAGATTTCCGTCTTTTTTTATTTAACAAATTCTTGCTTGTTCTTTTATGGTGCTTAAAATATAGAACTACTTTTAACAAATTGTTTATCACATACGTTTTATAAAATCCCTACCAACTTACCTCGTGATTTTTTTTAATCACAGAAAATCTCACTATCAAAAGACAACGACCTGAATACGAAGTATTCAAGAGTTTTATATTTCTATAGATGCCACTCGCCAAACAATATCCGTCCAGTCTAAAACTTATATGACGTCAGTGATGTAAACTTCTTGATGAAAGGACGAATTCGTTTTAAACGGGTACTTTGTAGTGATTAAAGAACACACTGCAAAACAAAAGAAACAACAGATATAACAACAAAGACAACAAAATATAGAACAATAACAAACAACATCACTTCAAAAAAAAAAATTTTAAAAATTGTTCTAAGACGTGGAATTCCAAATAATAGGTCAGAAACCAAGGCCAAGGACGAGACGACGGTCAAGGACGATTTGGTAAAACTAACCCATATATTTCTCCTCGGCGCGACTCTGAGTGAGCTTGGAGGTGACGTAGATGCTCATGTTGCCAACGAACTTGGCACAGGTGGATCCTCTGTAGATCTGGCAGAATCCGTCTCTTGGCTTGTCACTGCATTTGATAAAGAATGATGATAATAATATGAGTACAAGGAGAAGAGAAAATGCGAGTAATATCTTTCACCTTTGTCATTCATACAATTATGTTGTGAGCCTTTTCAATTGGCAGAACCATCTTACTTCTGCTCCGCATCGTTTTTCTCGACGGCTCTCTCCTCCCTCGCTGCTCTCTCTCTCTCTCTCTCTCTCTCTCTCTC